TTTTCCGAGGTCACAAAACTGATAATGATGGTGATGCTGGTGAATATTTATTGCTTTAACTCATCCATCCACAAAACCCTAGAAGGTAGTTACTATTATTATGTTCAGTTTAAAAAAATGAGAAAACAGTATGTAAGTAACATGTCTACAGTCCACGGCTGGCAAGTGAGTAAGATAAGGTTAACCCACACGGCCCAACCCCCGAGTTGGGCTGTCAGTGCTTGCTCCTGCCTGTGCCATAGTACCTTAAGAGACCACCTAGTTCATTCCAGACAGAGGAGAATGCTTAGAATACTGCACAGAATGCGTGCTCAATATATGTTATCATTAGACTGAATCTTGCTTGTTTTTTCTAAGGAATTCATAATACAGAAGGGAGGAGTATAAACGGTGTAATAATTTCCGGTCACTTCCTTTTCAACTGGATACTCTACCTCCAATGGCCACAGAATGGAAGTGTCATTGTTCATTAAATTCCCATTTATTTACCCTACAAATATTCCACGAGCCCTATATTCTGAGCCTACTGACAAAATAAAACCACAAAGAAGTCAACCATGATAATAAGTGTTAATAATCTCCTAGCAAGTACCGCTCACAGGGGCCCAATAATCACTACAGTGTGTGACTTTGTAAGTATTGAAGTTAAAACTCTAAACTTTTAAAAAATTATTTAAAATTACTGGAACCTGTAAAATTATTACTGAAATTAAAATTAAATTGATTTTTTACTATTGAAATCCAACTCAACTCTTTCATTTACCTTATTTTTATTTTGCTCGACTTCACTTAGTCCTTACAAGAGCTACGTGAGGTAGGTTTCTGAGTCCGCCTTCACAGATGAGGCGACGGTCATTCTTGGAGACCGAGGGGCTTGCTCAAACTCACAGGACCTATGTCTCCTGACCCCAAGCCCAGGGCTCTCTCCATGAGCTGACAGCCTCCTCCTAGCCACAGGGATTCAGAACCTGTTGCCAAATCAGAGTCATATACAATCTTCAGATGTGAGCCTGTTTTCTGACCCAGATTCCATTAAGTGAAGGAAAGGCCAGGATTCCAGGAGGAAAGACGTTGCAAAAACCACTATGGCAAATATATAGACAGTAATATCCTGAATCTTGCCCCAAAGAGAACTACGGTCACTTATTTCGGTATCATACGCAAGGGACAGTGGGATGCCTTTTGAGCACTGTAAGACACAGGAAATGAACTGGCACTGTTAACTAGGGGCCTGAGGCACTTACATGGCCTACCCTTGGCGGGGGGGGGGGGGGGGTGGTAGTCAGGGAAGGGACTCAGTTATCCCCCAAAGCAGAGGAAAACCTTGAGGGTTGACAAATTAACTTAAGCTCAGGCCAAAGGGGACCAGGGGGGGGGGGGGGGGGGGTGTCACATGAGGGCCAGGTAATATACAGAATCATGGCTCAGGTCCGGCTCACAGTGGGTCCACTGAGTCCACGGGCCCATCCTAGTCATTTCCCCAGTTCCTGATATTTAACTGGAGCACGTGTACATAGTAGTTGGTATAACCTTCTATCTACATTGTTTTCAGCCAGTGAAGTAAAAGTTACCATAGTGGGGAAAGCCAAGTGGGAGCCCTGTAAGCCCCCCACCACCAGCAGCAGCCAGAAGGGTAAGTCAAGACCAATATCAAATCCTATCTCATTAACAGAAGATCATGGGTTCATGGGGAGAAGGGACAGGGTTAGCTATTGAAAGGTTCCAACACCATAAGCCAAATCAAAATCAGTTTCACAGGTTGGTAAAGCTCTCTCCATTGCTATAGAAATTTTGAAACTTAGTTATGGGAGTTACCTAATTTTGTCTTTTTCTTTCTATATACCCTTAGATATGCTGCCAACACAATCAAATGTACATAAAATCCTAAACAATGTACATTAATTTTTTTCTTTTTAAAAATTCACTTTTGGGCTTCCCTGGTGGCACAGTGGTTGGGAGTCTGCCTGCCGATGCAGAGGACGCAGGTTTGTGCCCCGGTCCGGGAGGATCCCACATGCCGCGGAGCGGCTGGGCCCGTGAGCCATGGCCGCTGAGCCTGCACGTCCGGAGCCTGTGCTCCACAACAGGAGAGGCCACAACAGTGAGAGGCCCGTGCAGCGCAAAAAAAAAAAAAAAAAAAAATTCATTTTTATCTATGGGGAATACAAATACTATGGTATCACTCACTTTTGGTCAATTTTTAAGTCAGTGACAACTTTAGATATGTACTCACAAAGGCTATACCTTAACCTTGAAACCATGTGAGGGAGTAAAACCCCATGAAATTTTAAATGCTTAGTCCAAATTTTGGGGGAAATGCCCAAATCATGCCAATGGCATAATGATTCAACTTTCTATGTAAAAAGGGGTTTGACCTAAAAGGAATAATCCGATGCTCATACACAAACACAGATATCTACATTTTTATTTTCATGATTTTAGACAAGAATGCAAGATGACTATTTAATGAATACCTTCAAATTCTACACCAGAGATTAACGTATCTGCATGTATAGGTTTAAACTGTATTAAGCAGGGAATAAGTAATATAAAATATCAAACATGTAACCTATTCTCAAAGAACTAACAAGTGACCTGCTTATTTAGATTACGATCTGAGTAGACTTTGGGTATGTAGTTAAATTTAAAATAAACTTTAAGAGCTCTAAAAGCACTACAAATAATTACAAATATGTAAAAGAGGTCAGGATCTGGTGTCAGATTGAATGGATTCAACCACAAATCTCCTACCTATGTGGCTTTAGTTAGTAATTTCACTTTGCTTGAGCTTCACTTTCCCTCTCTGTAAAATGGGCTCATATGAAGACTGGATGAGCTCATATAAAGCAGAGCCTAGCACACACTACCTACTGGAATATTAGCAGCTATAATTTCTATTATTTATTATTGGGGAAATATCCCCATGTGAAAAAGAGGAATATTGGTAGTCAAAAAAATTAAATTCTTTCAGGCTTGACTCAAACCAACCATCTTGCTGGAATTTGTCTCTGAAGTATTTAAACCCCCAAATCCTGAGCCGCAGCATCTGTGTCCCTGCCTGGGTTGTGTCCGGCTCAGCTGTGCTTTTCCCTTCGCTGCCACACGTAGCAATGAGATCTGCCCTGTTCCACTCTTTTCCTTTGCCGCTTCCCCTCCTGTTAATTAGCTGTGTCAGCGCTGGCAGGCAGCTCTTCCTCCACCCTAATATGCTGTGTTCTAAGAATTTTGCCATCATTTCTGAACAAATGTCATATAGATGGTACTATGGAGCTCATGTGTAGAAAACTGGCTCTTAACATATGTTTATCAAATGTGTTGTGACTTTCCTGACACTAAAGCAAAAACATGTTGATCAGGAATAATTCATTCTTTTTTTTTTTTTTTTTTTTTTTTTGCGGTACGTGGGCCTCTCACTGTCGTGGCCTCTCCCGTTGCGGAGCACAGGCTCTGGACGCGCAGGCTCAGCGGCCATGGCTCACGGGCCCAGCCGCTCCGCGGCATGTGGGATCTCTCCGGACCGGGGCACGAACCCGCGTCCCCTGCATCGGCAGGCGGACTCTCAACCACTGCGCCACCAGGGAAGCCCTAATTCATTCTTTATATAAAATGTTTGAAACTGTTTAGCCTTTTATCGGAATTTCATTTGGAAAATAGCAATCTTTCTACAGATTTATAACTTAATGTTCCTCTGATTATAACCCAAATCATTTCTTAACCCTTTCATTACTTAAGCAAATATTCAATTACATTTTACTGTATAATAGAGTGGGCATAGTATTTTTATGATCTAAAATAAAATATTTCATTCTCTCTATGCGACAAATATACTTTTCTATTTGTTCAAATTGAATATGAAAAACTAGAACAACTTCTGCCTACACTGTAATTCAACTGTTATTCCCTCCAGTTGTATATGATAACATTAGTGTATTATTAAAAAATTCTAATTCCTAAACATTTGGACTTACATAGAGGATACATTTGAAAGTGATTATTTGATTTACAAAATAAATTTTTATTATTTAAAAGAAAAAAGAATTCAGTTCTTTCAGACATTAAGAAGAAACTTTGAAAGTCAGAGTCTTAAAAATTCCCCACCAACAGCTCCTAGGGATCCAGAGTCTGGTGATGTTTGACATTGAATACAATGAGTACAATACATCACAAAAGCATTCCCCCCAAAATTGCCAGTGCTCTCAGGCCCTGAGCCCTGTACCCTTTCCTCTTCTGTAACCAAGATCATCACTAATCATCCCCACCACTCAGTTTTCTTCACTCATGCCTTATCTTTAACAAAAATAATCATTATTATTACGTGCTTTAAACTCTGCTTTTTACTTCTGCTATCACCTTGTGGTTGGGGCCCTGGTGACAGGTGCTGTGGAACAGCAAGGACGTTTAGAACACTAACAGTTCAACAGAGCCCTGCTTAACCCCCCAATAGGAAAGGGACCACTTCCTACATCCGTGAGAAGTGGCAGGTGTCAGTGACATCTAAGTTGCATGCTTCTCTCCCTCTTTTCCTTTTTTGTGCTAGAGAGACAAGTGCTGAAATAAAAAAACCTCCCCATGCCTTGCAAGAAAACAAAATGGGCATTGTTAAAACACATTTATCGGGCTTCCCTGGTGGCGCAGTGGTTGAGAGTCCGCCCGCCGATGCAGGGGACATGGGTTGGTGCCCCGGTCCGGGCTGGGCCCGTGAGCCATGGCCGCTGAGCCTGCGCGTCCGGAGCCTGTGCTCTGCGACAGGAGAGGCCACAACAGTGAGAGGCCCGCATACCGCAAAAAAAAACCCCCAAAAAACACATTCATCCTTTGAAGTATTTTGATTCACTGGGTGGACGTTTTACTAAAGCAACGATTTTTGGTAAAGTGGTTGCTGAAAGTGAATTATTCCTGAGCATTTTCACTCCTTACATTAACTGAGTAAGAAACGTCACACGGGTAAAACATTTAACTCTCAAAGCTCAGAAAAGCGTCACGGGGACCAAGTTTCTTACCTACAACAATGCCATAGGAAAAAAACAGAAAGTAGATATTGGGGGCAAAACTGCTCAACATGAGGCCTCCTGCCACCATGAAGCCACTGAAGATTGTCACGGCTCTTGCTCCAAAAGATGAGACACACAGGCTGCACACAGGACCTAAAATCATAAATGAAACCTTCACTTATTTAACAGTAACCTCCTCTCCACATCCTATCATCCATCCGAAATTTAAAATGATTCTTTCCATCGTAAAACAACCACAGCAATAATAAGCTACTGTGTGTTCACTATGGGTTGGACATCCTGCTATTCACATAAACAATCTCCCTTCATTATAATCTCACTGCATTCCTGGGAGGTAGGTGCTTTCGTTATCCTCATTTCTCTGATAAGGAAATTAAAGTGTCAGAAGAGGAAGGTCACATAGCTAAGAAATCGGGGTTCTGGAGTCAGACTTTATTAAATTTTCAGTGAGAGTAACAGCGGCAGCCACCCTCAGAGTAACAATTAAGAAGTAAAAACCCAGGCCATCTGGCTGTTGAGTGCATCACCTTAACCGCCACACTCTTCTGAGGATTTTGGTCTCCTGTACTTGCCATGCATCTTTTCTACCCAGAGCTCCTATCCAGCACAAGGCCAGTCATATAATTGATGATAAAAATAAACTTAATGATTGACTCGACGCTATCAATAGCATCCTTATAAAGGGATGAAGTGAGGGTAGTTACTCCCTTCCTAGAGAAGATTTTGGCAGGTGGGGCAAATGCCTCTACCCTACCCACCCGGGCACGACTTTGTCAGTATCACTGTCCTACATACTACATGAAGCCTGGAATTTGGGGGAGGAAGTACACTGTTGACTGACACGTAAAAGGGACCATTATCTGGACCAGTTGTATGTGGAAGTGGGCAACTGCTCATGTACGGGGATTTAAGTGATAGTGAAATTCTCTCTCACTAGCACTGTACCTTGACAGTATCTACAGCTACAGAGCTTAGCATATTAGAAATAAAAGGACATGAAGGGTTACTCTGCCCAGTAGTCTTATTTACATGGAAGGAAACTGAAGCTCAGAAGGGTTGTCCATGCCACGGTTAGAAGAAAGAGCCCAACATTTAAAAGCAAAGAGAAACATCTTAATTGAGTTCACAACAACCTTTCAAGGTACAAATCATTATTCCCAATTTTTAAAAAGCATGCTCACCAGAATGGCAAAAGGCAGACAACAATAAGTGTGAGCAAGGATGTGCAGCTATCACAACTCCCATAAACCGCTAGCGTGATCTCCCAAAGCGGAACTCAGCGCTGTATAACTCCGAAGTTCTACTTCTATGTACACCTACACCAAAAGTCATGGACATAAATGGTCATAGCAGAACTAGCCATAGTAGCCAGCACCCACAGATCCAGATGTTCCTCAGTAGTAGAAGGTATAAGTAGATTCTGGTGTATTCATACAAGGGACTACCATATGGCCATGAGAATGAATGACCTACAGCTACACACAGTAATACAGGTGTATCTCACAAATGTACGTGGAGTGAAAGATACAACAAGAAAAAGTACACATTGAGTAATTCCAATCATCAGAAGTACAAAAACAGACAAAATTAATCTACAGTCAGAAGTCAGGATAGTGGGTCTTTGGTAGCGGGTAGGAAGCTATAACCAGAAGGAAACACAGCCCAACTTCTAGGTACTGCTAACGTCCTGTTTCTGGATGTGAATGTGCTCATTACACGGGTATGTCTGGTTTGTAAAAACAATTCACTGAGCTAAACTCTCATGATATGCACACTTTTCTGTACATATCTTAAAACATTTTAGGAAACCTCAGATGGAGAGATAGTGTCATCCATCCACAGTCTCACTGTTAGTAAGTGGTGGAGCCAGGATCTGATGATCCCAAGCCCGTTCTTACCAATAACAGAGAGTCTCTTAAGCACGTATTTAAGACCAGGTTATGACCACTGAGATACCACCAGCTTTCAATGCCTAGAGCCATCCCACATTCCTCCCTGGTCATGAACTGGCCCCTGTCATTTCAAGCCCTCTTGTGTGAGCCAGTATGGAAGAGCAGACTGATATATTTACATGACAGAGGGGAATATTCTACTCCAGTGTTTTAGGAGGAAAATCCATTTGAAAGACCAAACTTATCTGACAGTTGAGCTATGTGTATACCCAATGAGAAACACTTAGATGCTTCAAAAATAGAAATGATTTTAAGAGTCAAATTTCATAAATGGATGTTGACATCATAAAGTCATGACCCTTCTATGTTGTCTACCAAATTGTATTGACATTGACAGTCAGTGTTTACAAATTTAACAGGCACATGGAATTAAAACAGAGATTGTTACTGGCATACTTGAAAAGTTTCAAGTTTCATCCTCGAAGCAGGACTTTAAATTTATGCTCCTTAAGGCATGTTAACTCTACAAGGAAACTCAAAGTTTGGGAAGATGGGGGTGGGGTGAAGGGTAATAATTTTCACAGCATGTACAACCAAAACCACTATTTTATAAAATGTATAATATTATCATCAATTTTGTGATAAATTCTTAAATCATGTTTGCCTCATACATGATTCTTTGAATAAAATTAAGCCTAAGGAAGAAATGAGCAGAAATTCTTTGACAGATGAAAACAGCAAATTGAAAACTGGTTTTAAAAAACTTCTCACCTCACACCTGTCTGGCCTTTATCAAAAAGATAACAAATAACAAGTGTTGATAAGGATGTGGATAAAAGGGAACCCTCATGCACTGTTGGTGGGAAGGTAAACTGGTAGAGCCACAATGGAAAAAAAAATGGAGATTCCTCAAAAACTTAAAAATAGAACTACCATACGATCCAGCAATTCCACTCCTGGGTATTTATCCAAAGAAAACAAAAACACTAATTCGAAAAGATATATGCATCCTTATGTTCAATGCAGCATTATATACTATAGCCAGGATATGAAACCAGCTTAAGCGCCCATCAATAGATGAATGGATGTGGTATATATATACAATGGAATATTACTCAGCTATAAAAAAAGAATGAAATCTTGTCATTTGTGACAGCATGGATGGACCTAGAGAATATTATACTAAGTGAAATAAGTCAGACAGAGAAAGACAAATACTGTATGATTTCACTTATATGTGTAATCTAAAAAACAAAACAAATGAAAAAACACATTTAAACAGAAACAGAGTTGTAGATACACAGAGTCCGAGAACAAACAGGTGGTTGCCAGAGGGGAGGGGCGTAGGGGGAGAGAGAAATAGATGAGGGAAATTAAGAGGTTAGAACTTCCAGTTACAAAATAAATGAGTCACAGGTGTGAAATGTACTGTGTGGGGAATATAGTCAAGAATTATGTAATATCTTAGTATGGTGACATACTGTAATTACACTCATTGTGGTGATCATTTTAAGATGTGTAGAAATATCAAATCACTATGTTGTGTACTGGAACTAATATAGTGCTGTAAGTCAGTTATGCTTCAAAAACAAACAAGCCAACAAAAAGGCTCATAGAAAAAGAGATCAAATTTGTGGTAACCAGAGGTAGGGGTAGGGGATGGGGGAGGGGGACTTGGATGATAGTGGTCAAAAGGTATAAATTTCCAGTTATAAGATAAATAAGTATGGGCTTCCCCGGTGGCGCAGCGTTTGAGAGTCCGCCTGCCGATGCAGGGGACGTGGGTTCGTGTCCCGGTCCGGGAAGATCCCACATGCCGCGGAGCGGCTGGGCCCGTGAGCCATGGCCGCTGAGCCTGTGCTCCGCAACGGGAGAGGCCACAACAGTGAGAGGCCCGCGTACAGCAAA